AAGAGGGATCCCCTCTTGTATTCGTAGCGACAATGGGACGAATTTCGTGGGAGCGCATCGTGAATTAACCCATTCGCTGCCAAGTTATTTCTTGGTAAGAGCACATATATTATCATACATAATCATTTAGAAGCAGAAAACCAAAGACGAGTATACTCGTCGTTGGCAATGAGCCTTCAAAAGAGCCTGCATGTTATAATATATTTAAAGCAGGACGAGTATACTCGTCTTTGGCAGCGAATGGGTTAAAAAAGAACACCTGCAGAATTATAATGTTCAGTCTGAAGATACTTGTCCCTAAATAAATTTTTACAATATTCGACGATGAGGATCAGTCATGAACTTTCAAAGCAAGAATGGATTGCACGTTCTGTATGAACCTCGTTGTATTTAATTATTAAGAGGGATCAAGCTGGATAATTGTAAATTGGTTTCGCTTGAAGAAATTCCTGAATGAGTAGATTTCAAAGAAAGAGAATGCGGAATAAAGAAGTTTGAAAGAAAAGGGGACAGTCCAAGGTGGATCCGGGGAGTCGCGAGTCCCGGATGAAACTACCGGCGGCTAGTTGAAACCAGTTTCAATTTATTCGCGGTGGCTCGTGCTTCGATCGCCGACCGGGACTCCCTTTTTAATTATTTATCCAGCGACACCGTCGCTGAATGCTCGTTTTCCACGTCGCCTTCAACCGGCAATTAATCCATCAACAAATCCAGAAACCTTCCGCTTCTGTGAACCGACTCGCGACGTTAGTCGGCTTCATCGTTCATGCAATGTTCATCGTTAACAAACGCTGAAACTGGTTTCTCCCGAGTTCTCTCGATAGATGTTACATGCCATGAAAATTGTCATAATAATTTATACAATAGAATAGCATAAGCGATGTACATTCCAATGGAGATTAAATTTCAGAAATTGGAAAAATATTAACAATTTTCGACAATTGTAATAATTATTACATTTCAATAAATAGTTTGACATAAGGAAATCAGTTCTGATTGAATTCCTGACATGCCAATTAAATCTGTTTACGATTCCTTGTCGCCCTTCTCCCTCTTTCTTAAAGGACTTCGCAATACAGGATTGATCCAGTTCGACTTTGAAGTTAACGGCTTCGGTACTGATTTTGCTCGGCATTATGCGAGCAAAATTTAAGAAAAGAAGAAAGTGCATCAGGTACTACATTAGACGTGGTTTGACGGCGGTGGAATTCGTATCAGCTCAGACTAAAGAAAAAACGTGAGACAGTATCTGTGTAATTCGAAGATTTTGTTCAGGTTCTAATATGTATTGAGAGGGATGTGAGACACCCAAAGTTGGACTGCCCTAACAATTTCTGGATTGGATATTTGTTTGATCTTAGAGTAAGTCATCCTACTTAAATATCGAAGGACGATTATGTATTACATTTATAAATACCAATCATTTCTATATATTTAATTTCATACATTTCATTTAATTTTATTCATTCGAGTCAATTCAAGTTAATCTTGAATGATTTAATAGCGGTCCAATTTTGCTGTACTTCTTTAAAAAAGAATAGAGTCCAAGAGGTGATTCGAATTCGTTCACCGGTCATCGTTTAAGCGTGTGAGTCCATTCATCCACTCAACAGACGGCGAGCGAGCGAGAGAGAGAGAGAGAGAGAGAGAGAGGATTATGAGTCATCGTGTTCAGAGTGGAATTAGCATAATCAGCAGAGGGAGAGAATTTCATTGAATCCGCGTTATGTCATATCAACTATCCCCACTTTGCATTCTCACTAGCAGGTGTACACAGGTGCAAATCCGAATTTATTGCACAATTCATTATGCAAAATTTCATTCAATCTTGAATAATAATTTTTACAGGAATTTATATTGAGTTTGTGGTCGTCCTTTGTAGATTGTTTACACGACACTTCGACTGGTCCTTAAGGTCTTTCACATCGATTAGTCGTCAAGGTTTACTAAATAATTCATTTTTTGGTATGATAAATTCTTGAATGACGAACACAAATGATTGATTAAAAATTATATTACACCATTTTATACCTTGTTATATGTTAAAATGATATGACTGAATGGAATTCTTAATAATTTTGAACATAGTTTGAGGAATGTTCCTTTTAACAAATACGAGAGAGAATGATATAACAGCAGAAGTATCAGATATCCAGAAGTTCGTGTAAGTTAGACTGTTTATTTACAACCCTTTAAGTGGTAACCGGTTGAATCTCGTTCTGACCGACTGTAAACGCGGTTTTCACTTCACGCGGCTCGTGGTCGATTTTTCATGTCCCGATCCTCTCCAATATAGACCGACGGCTTATCGGCCGCATCTTTCTTATCGCGTACCGCGAGCTGTCCATGGTGTCTCCTCGCAGAGCGTGTCCCGGGACCAAACCTCCTGCGGGCTCCACGATGGCAAATCGTAAGTCTCACAAATCCATTGAAAAACGCATGAAAATTTTTCTTCCCATGCTGCACTTTCTTCAAGTTCTTTCTTGGTGAATTAATTTGAAAAAATTCATTCAATTAATAAATGCTTCTTCTCTTCAAAGACTCTTCCTCTTTTTCTAAGATTCTTTTCAGTACACAATTTTCTTCCTCAATTCTCTTCAAGCTGTTTATCAAATCTCTCGTATTTCTTTAGTCAGCCTATCCTTAAACCAATGCGCTTAATACTCTTGAATCTCACGTGTCATCGCAATTAAAAAAATTCGTAATAAACGGCACGGCGATCGATTCGTCGAACACCGATGGGGCATCGATCACCGTGACGCAAATTATTTATCAACGCTGCATACCTGTCGATTGTTCAAACAAACAGACCCCCTACTGATTTTTATATTCATGACAAATCACGTTCGACCGATCTAGCAATGTGTCCGTACAATTTTTTAAATAATACTTTTCATACGTGATAAGTGATCTCATAAACGATGCAAGAAGTGTTTTATGAAAGTGTGAGAACAAAGTTCCTGTACGCTACAGACTTTCCTCAAATTTTCCTCAAATTTTCTAATCATTATAATTAGAACAATGGTATACTAAAATGAATTAATAATCGAGATCCAGTCTCATTCTCATACAAAAACAATCAATTATTTATAATTCGATTACAGATTCGAATAAACATTGACTTTACATATCTGTAGCATACAGAATTTTATCCAATCGACGACATTATAATATTTTATGTCCAGTTTGTTAAAAGATCTGCATTGTTTACAAGATTAATCATGCCCGTGTGTTTCTCATGTGTGTCGTTTCCATAAGTCGCGCGGAATGGAAGAAACTCGGCCCTGCCGCTGCCCTGGAAGGGGATGCTTCGTATATAAACGGGCACATGTGACAATTAAAACCGACAGTCGGAAATCGTTCTTCGTTTAATCCGGTGCCCGAAACCGACCGCAGAAAAACCCGCTCGCACTCCGTTTAACATAATCCATTGTTAATTAATTAATTAATTAATCGGTGGTCCCGGTATTTTTTCAAAGAGTCTCGAGGCTCGTTGGGAACTCGAGACGGTTCGAGTCGAAGGAAAAAACGAGAAATCCGGGCATATATATGCGTTACGTCAGGAAGACCAGCAAGATCATTCAGCTGCAGTTTCGCACCTTCCTACTCGTTAGAGATCACCATTAGGATTCTACTTGCTACATCGACAGCTCCTTGTCATTATCTTGCTATAATTCTTCCCACTGGCTCGTTCGCTCAGATTGGACTTCGAGAGGTGAGTGACAAGTACTTTAAATGGCAGGCACATTGATAATAACTGTATAATGATCACTGGACTGTGGTTTTTCCTGAAAAATAATATCTTGTAGGGTATCGATCTAAGATATAATATTTAGCATGTATCATTCGAATACATATTGAATTTACATACCTACATACAACTTTAAACACTCTGCTATGCAGTTTGCTGTCGATACTTTATGCACTAATTCAAAAATCTGTAGTTCAATTAGATTGCAGATTTTTTTTACAAAATAAAAAATTTACAAATGAATTTCTTTTAGCTGCAGACTTAAAATACATAAAATCCACAGTTTAATGATCAAAGTTCCCCATATTCGAAATTGTTATTGCTCTTTGTGTCATACTGCTTTTAATGCATCTTTGGAAACTAATTTCGTTATAAGTGGCTCTTCTTTTTGAAGCACACTTCCTCCATTGAAAGTTACTCAAACTCTGCTGGCAAATTATTAAGCGTGACAACTTGAGACTTTTAAGGGGACCATTAGTCGACGCTTTTAGATATACTAAATTATAATTGCATGTTTTCAACTTCGAGATAGTAACAAGCTTTTCAAAGAGGATGCTCTTCGAAAAATGTAAAATGCACGTTTCGAATAATAAATTTAAGAGAGGAAATAAGCTGAATAATGTCCCTCGGGGCCATTTAGGATAAATACAAAGCGTAATAATGATTTTTGTTTTGATAATGACGGGACAACGAAATGATATTGTTGGCCATTCATTCATTCGCTCGTTTGTTTCGGTAATAATGGCAGAATATTTATGCTCCGAGTTGCAATTAAAATTCATCGGCTTCCGGTTGTCAGCTTCCAAATAATACACAATCGTCGCAGCTGTAAGTCGTAAATCAATTCCAATAAAAAGTGTTCACGGTTACGCTTATTAATTAATCATTGTTCGTCCAATTCAAACAAGATTCGTTCCTCTTCTCTTCCCTTTTCATCCAATATTTTTCCATATGAAATACTCTTCTTGTATTTCCATTATTCATTTTCTTTGTTTTTTCTATCGCTTTCACAATTTATTCTGTGTACTAACTCAAAACTGTCTGCCTATCGCAATCGAACACACGCGAGGCAGATGAAAAACATGAAAATTAGGAAAAGCAGGTATGCAAATACAGACACGTGTGTTAGCTTTTTCAAAGAGTCTCTCATAGTTAGATATACAACGTAAAGATCGATAGCGATTCGACCAGGAAACCGGCTCTAACCAGATTCGTCCAGACTTAATGATGATCCGTTATTAGCAATGTTGTTCCGACGTCTGATTTCTTTTTAAAAAATGCGTTTCTAAAGTGCATAAACTTTTAGGATTGACTGTATAGCCAATACATCCTTAAGCAAAACCCTAACTAGAATCTTGATGATAATTCTGATTGCTAGAACAAAAGCAGCGCATTGACTGCACTTGAAAACGTATAGATACGTAGATATCAGATTAATAGTAGCTGATTTTATGAGTACAAGTCGACACGTGAACACGGTATAAGATTTCATCGGATCACCGATAGATAGGTCGCCCTTCGCGTTGGCACAAACTGGACCCCGTTCGCCTTTGAATTAACTGGTTCTAGCCAGAGACAACCGGACCTCTTAATGATGATCGAACGCAACGGTGTTAATAGCCACAAATCCTTCTAAACAATTGCACCCGGTTCGATGAATAATCGTGTGCCATACCGCGAGACGCGAGACTCATAATCCTGGTGCGTTACACTTTGCTTATGTAAGGGTCGATTAATCATGCTGCATCGATTAACGAACGTGACTAACGTGGTTTTAATTGGGTCTCGTCGTTTATTAACTCACGGCTAAAATGAAACAGTCGTTAAATTAAAAAAAGACCCAAGAAATATGCTGTACTATTTTTGATCGACTTACTGCGTTCACTTTCAACTTTTCAATTGTCGATTTTTAATTAAGGCGGAACTTACGTAAAATGTAACACGGAGATCTGTCTGGAAGTGTCGATTCACATGATCAACGGATCTATACGCGATATCCGATCTAACATCGACCACCAATGCGGCTCAAGGCCGGGAATGTCAAGTGCAATTACCTACATACATTTTCTTGTATCACCCTATCGACTTCCTACGTCTCTCTAATCAATTCCTAATAGACATGCTCAATTGTGGAAGTGTAAATACAATCGTCGATTCAATTTCTGTCAGATGATTTGTCCATAATAAAAAATCTCAATACATTTTCGCACATGAAACATACAATATAAATATTTCATTTTCACATTTTTTTTATAAAAGATAATATTAAATTTTAATTATCAGGCCGTGGATCTTTGTGCAAAAGCGAATTGAAAGAAATAATTTAAGTATCATAGAAACTCGCTTCAATCATTCAGGATTTTCGTTTCCTCATAGAATTATTTTATTTTATCGAAGGACCTGAAGGATGAGGTCCCACCTACTCGTTCTGATCTTCCTCTTCGCCGTTTCCTCTTCGGAATCGACGCAGCGGCCGTCGGCGGACGAGAAATGTCGCCAGGAGCACCCAGTCCTTCTACATTATTTCTCCTGGGCCGATTACACAGTACTGGCGTCGATGCTGATAATCTCCTGCCTGATTGGTACTTTCTATGGGTTCTTCGCGGAGAAACAGGAGACGAGTGAAGACTTCCTCCTCGGTGGCTCGAGCATGGGCACGTTCCCTATGGCGATGTCGCTCGCGGCTAGCTTTATCACCGCTATCGAACTCCTCGGCAATCCCGCCGAGATGTACAAGCAGGTAATAAAAAACAAATCAGAAGCATTTCTTTTAATATAAATTCCGTTTGCTCAATGCTTTCATTTAGACTTTCACAACTGTTCTATGTAATATTTTAATATATTCTAATTTCTATTAGTCATGTTCTGTTCGTGTTATGCGAATTGCATTACTCTTAGAAAATACCTCTTTTATTTGATGTACAATTCCCTCGAAACTGTTCATGATTTGTTAAATGATTAACAATTT